AGCACCAGACGACATGTAGTTTGCCAAAGAAGCACAAGGGGAAGGCTTTTATAGAGTAAACTCAGAAGCAAGGCAAAGAGAATATTTGATTGGTTAAAGTGGAGCAGTAGGCTTATTTGGGTCATTCCACAGGAAAGTCCCTAGTTTAGAAGGTAGTTGGCAGTTTCAGATTGGTAAACTTAAGTTTCATTTTATTGTTTTCACTGAGTTGGGTTTCAGTTTGCTTAGATAGGAACCCAGGGTACTGGAGCCGTCTCAGTCTAATGGCCTTTCAATTAATTATTTTAACAACCCCTACTTCACATCATATACAACAATTAACTCAAAATGAACACCTAAATATAACAGCTAAAGCTATAAAACTCTTACAAGAAACCATAGGGGTAAGTCTTCATGAACTTGGATTAGTTTCTTAGATATGACACTACAAGTCCAAGCAGCAAAAGAAAAACTAGGCGAATTGGACTTCATTGCAATTAAAAACTTTCACACTTCAAAAGACACTACGAAGAAAGTGAAAGAAACCAAAGAATGGGAAAAATATTTGCTGATCATGTACCTGATAAGGGACTTGTTTCTAGAATACACAAAAACTCATATAATAAAAGGACAAAATATAAAGGACAATTAAAAGACAACCCAATTTTAAAATGGGCAAAGATCTGAATAGACATTTTTCCAAAGAAGATGTGCAAATGACAGATAAGCACATGAAAAGATGCTCGACATCATTAGTCATCAAGGATATGCAAACAAAACCATGGTGAGGTACTACTTCATACCCACTAGGACGGCTAGAATAAAAGGGCAGACATTAACAAGTGTTTCTCAGAGTGTGAAGAAACCCTTATACCCTGCTGGTGGGATCAAATGGTGCAGCTACTTTGAAAAACAGTCTGGCATTTCTCCAAATGGTTAAACTTTAAACCCAGCAACGCCATTTCTAGGCATATACCCAAGAGAAATGAAAACATACGTCCATACAAAAACCTATACACAAATTTTATAGCAACATCATTCATAGTAGCCTAAAAATAGAAACAACCCAAATGTCCATCAACTGACAAACGGGTAAACAAAAGTTTACCCGTACGATAGACTATTTGGGACTATTTGGCCGTTGAAAGAAATGAAATACTGATACATGTTACAACATGTATGAATCTTGAAAACATCACGCTAAGTGAAAGCTAGTCACAAAAGACCACATATTATATGATCACATTTATATTACATGTCCAGAATAGGCAAATCTACAGAGACAGAAAGTAGACTAATGGTTGCTGGGGACTATAGGGAATGAAGGGAAAGGAGAATAATAGCTAAATGGTACAGGGTTTCTTTCGGAGGTGATTAAAATGTTCTAAAATTAACTGTATAAATCACAGAATTATAGAATTTAATGAGTGAATTATGTGGTATGTGAGCAATATGTCAATACAACTATTACTCCAAGAAAAAGAAAGAGAAATTATCAGAAGAATAAGCAGATTTTTGTAAGAGTATTTACCAAATGGTGTGCCTCTAACCCAAAAACTGTAATTATCATATATAAAGACCTATATGATAACCCAAGCCATTGAATTGTGCACTTTAAAGTGGTTAAGATGGTGGATTTTATGTAATGTGAATTTTAACTCAATTTTTAAAAATCTGTAATGCTTAAAAATCTTTGGATAACAAAAGTAATTCAGCATTGAAATCCCAGTGAAACAAATCAAAGCTCAAATTGTTTTTGATACCAACTTCCCAAGCAGAGAATCCAGAAGGTGATCAACATTGTATACCAAAAGGGCTCAGTGAGGGCACTTGTTGTCCAACAGTCCCACCAGAAGCCACCAAGTGAGGGTCCTCAAAATTATTATATTGGAACCTTAAGGAAGAGACCACCTCTCTAATAGAAACAATGAAGCTAAATTTATTATTTGCTAGCAGATTTTCAAAACGGGGAATGTTCCAGGAATTGGTTCACTTTTAGCCATGAGTTTAGAGATTGGAAGACTATCAGCCGCAGGAATAGAAGCAGGTTCCCTCAGTGAGGCTGGTGTTGATTGTTTGCCTTCCAGAAGCATGGAGCTGTCACTGATGGGTTGACTTTCAGCGGCCTGGCTATTAGAGCAATGCAATTACTTGTTTGATTAGGACAGTTTTAAAACTGGTTCTATGGTTACTTGCTTATGGTTTATGGAATGAGGGCTAATGCACAGGCAATAATTCCCTTTCATGAATATGGAGAATACGAACTTTTTATTCTCAACCCCTCCTATTTCTGACAGCTACATCATAATTTACGCTAAAAGCAAAAAGACATTACTGTTAACAAAGAAGTTAATACACAAGGCAGCCAATCAAAGGGGAAGTTCTTTAAGCTTGTGCTAAAGAGTATTAGAATTATTAAAGAGAAGCACTTCATTATTAAAAATTATTGTTAAAGGGAAACAATCCATAACTCAGTGTCATTGCATGGTAGTCTTTTAAGGTTAATTTCAACTGAAGTGGTAGAGTCTGTTCAAAGTAAAATCTTTTCTTGGAAAAGCAGTAGAAGTGCTTTTATATAGGATAGTCACTCAAAAAAGACTAAACACATAACAGAATAGCACTGAATGTCAGTGCTCCAGTCCTAAAGAAGCCCCCAGTTATATCAAAAAGGTAAAAAATTAAAGAGCTAATTTTGGGCTTCCAGTCAAGATGGTGGAATAGACAGTCCCCAGCATCACTGTCTCCCACAAATCAACCAATTTACAACTATAAAAAAGCAACACAGCCAAGCTGGGGCTGCTAGAGCTCAGGGGAAGAGATGGGGAGACCTGTGGAGTGCATGCATGTGGGAGAAGCCACAATGAGAGAAAGAATAAACCACTCCAACCATTTCGTGCCACGGCTGCTTTAAGGCTGGAGCTGCTGAGTGCATGGAGGAGCTAGCAAAAGCTGCAGCTGGGCCCTTCAGATGGAGTTGCTTAGAGGCAGCAGGGGAGAAGGGTCCATGGTGGCCCCCAGGCCAGCAAGACCACTAATAGGGTTCCTATGAACCCACATAGGAGCAAGGAGCCATAACAGCTGAAAAAAAAGTAGCCACTCAGAGCCCAGTGAGTCATCGTAAGGGACGGGTGCACGGTCCATCCCATGGGAAGTGTTTGCAGCATGGGCGGTGGGGAGATGGGCCCACTGGGGGAACACTGGGGCACAGCAAGGACAGCTGACAGGCACCCCAATCAGTGAAGGAATACTCAAAGGAGACTGGTCAGGAATATAGAATTGCATGGGGTGTGGTTTGATGAAAAGACTAAGGCTCAGATCAGAGTTTCTACACAACCCAGGTGTACCTGGTCTCTGGAGAGCCGGAGGTACCTATAAGGTCAACCATTAAAACCTGAGCTGCACAAAAAGCCTTCCCTAGGGAATCGGCAGCAAAGCAGCAATTGAACTAAACCACACAGCTCAAGTACTGGTCCCCACAGGAAGTTCCCCCATTTTAGAAGTAAGCAAAGGACAAAAAATTAGTTCTGGCCCAGACACACCGCCAGCACCTTGGGGCCTGCCTGGGAACCTGAGGTATGGAGCCAGGGACCAGACCCCCCCACACACAACCAGATACTTCGCCAGCACCAAGGAGCATGCCAAAAACATCACCTCCATGTTGGTGGCCCAGCACAGCCAACACAATAACCACGGCTGCCACGAAAGTGGCTAGATGTCACAACCACCACGCAGATGATCTGCCAGCCACTGGACTGCATTGACACAAGGAGAGTCACCAGCAGAGACAAAGAAAAGAAGAGGATGTCTCTCTCCACAAAGCCTATTCCAGAGTGACAGAAGAAGCATCTGCTCTATGATAATATTGGGAGACCTGAACACACCTCTCAGCATTGGACAGATGATCTAGGCAAAAATCAACAGAGTAAACCATTACTCTTTCATAAGGAGAGAAGAAATCTAGGGTTATCAGGTGGGGGAGGGGGGAGTGAGTGGGGAATAGGGAGAGATTGAACAAGGGGCATAAAAAATAAGTACGATTTGCAACAATATATATGCTAGTAATATTGATTTGATTCACATATGTCAACATTGAACCCCCAAAATATGTAGAATCAATTATGATTCAATAAAAATTTTTTTAAAAACTAATTATAATATAATGTGCATCACATTATAATTAGATCAGGACAGAGTGCTTTATGAGCAGAGAGAACAGAGTGATTAACTGCCAAAGGTAGGAGGAGGAATAGTTAGGAAAATCTTCATAGAAAGGGTAATGTTTGAACTGGCCCTCAAAGGATAAGAGCTCTTAGGCATGAAAAAGCAATGAAAAGTCATTGTACTCAGAGGCACAGTCATGAACAAAGGCATAAGAGCACATGATGTATTGGAGGAGCAGTGAGTAGGACAGTGGTGTGGGAGCATAGGGTAAATGGAAAGAAGTAGTAGAAGGAAATAATCCAGTCCAGTTATGAAAGATATTTTATTCCAAGTTAAGAATTAATTTTTTACTCATAGGCAGTCAGGAGTCATGAGGTTTTTAAGCAGGTGAGTGACATGATGAGGTCATTCATAGACTATAAAAGATGGATTATAGAGGAGAAGAAAAAGTCTGGGAAATGGGTTAGAAGTCTACTGAAAGTGCTGGATTTTAGGACGTTCTGAGGCATAGCCTTATTAACAAGAAAAGAAAGCAAACTTTATGACACATTAATCTCCTCCTATTCATAAGATATATTTGATGTATCATCAGTACTGTACCCTTGTCAAAATGCAAATATGGCTTTGCCATTGTCAGAGGGCCCTGATTCTTGTTCTTGGTTTGTGTTTCTCTCTCTCTCTTTCTCCCCCTCCGTCCCTCCCCATCCCCATCTCTTCCTCTCTCCAAATGAAAAATTAGCATCTATGCCAAGGAAGAACTGCTGGTGAATATCAAGATTGTTCTAGTTAATAAACTGGGAATAACAATCAATTTGAGAAGAAAATGCCTTGATTTCTGACCGTTTTCTTGGTTTTCTTAGATAATTAAGTTGAAAGCTGAAGCCCGGCTGGACTTGCTAAAGCAGATTGGTGTTTCTGTGGACACATGGCTAAAGAGTGCCATGAACCAAGTAATGGAAGAACTGGAAAATGAGCAATGGGCCCGCCCTCCTGCAGTGACCAGTAATGGCACTTTACACTCGGTATGGTTTCTTTTCTTGGATGTGATGGACTGATTTTGATTGAATGATGCTCTTCTTTGGCTCTGTAGTCAAACTTAATAATAGCCAACTTTTAAAAGAAAAGATAATCATTTGCTAGTGGTTTGGGGTTTTTTTTCAGCCTATTACTAATTGATTTAAACTTAATGCGGGAGGGTGAAGAAAGGAAAAAACTAGTGTTTTTTGTTGTTGTTTTTTAATGTGCAGCAAGGAATATATTGTTACTAGTTGGGTTATCAATGCTGATCTGTCAAACTCATTATCCCGTTCAAGAAGTAAATATGCTTCTTGTTTGGAAGTAGTAGAATAGAAAACTTAATCTAGTGTTTCTGAAGGTCTCAGAGATTTACTCTGGTGAAAATGAAAATAAACATCCAGAGAGTTGTAAACGATCTTAAAGAAGTAAAAGGAACACTCTTAGTGTATGGGCTTATTCTGAAGGCAACTTCAGTTCTCAAGGGCTTTTGTACTCTCCTTACAAGGAGACAGTGCTAGTGGGGTTTTACAGACAAGGCCAGGACACACGCTTAAGTTTTCTTCTAGTTTTCTTACTTTCCATTCTGATGCCATCCAGCTCAACCTCAGTTTTTCATGTTTGAGATCTGAGTACCAGAAAAGTTCAGTGATTTGACTGATATTACATAGTGGATATGTGATGCATAACTGGTCAGAGAGAAGTAATTTCTATTGCCACATCCCGATCCATTACTTTCTGTCACCCTGTATACTTCCTTAATGGTATTTATTACAGTTTGTATCCATCTTCCTTATTTTTTTCTTTTGTTTATTGTCTATCTTCCTCTCTATAATGTAATTGCCATATTTTCCTGGATCACTGCTGTGCACCGCAAAGTGCCAGGCACATAGTAGGTACTCAATAATTATTTGTTGGAGCAAGAAATGAATGAATGGATGCATGGATAGGTGGAATAGTGGCAAACCAAAAGCTAAAATTTGAATCTCCTGATTTCGCACTATGTTCATAGTGCCTCTTTAATGTTTGTGCACTTCAGATGTAAAATATCCTTGCTAGAGAAACTGGCCAAAGTCTAAAAACATTCCTGGAAGTTTTGTCAATTTTTTTACATAGCATTCTGATTTTCTAATGGGAATACACTTGTACATTTAAAAAGGATTGTGTGTGTTTGTACATTTTAAGGAAAAACAATCTATTGAAGGTGATTATTTTTATTTCACTATTAATGGTAATCCAGCAAGGGGGAAGAAGCACACATCACCCACTTGAGGTTGGGGATAGAAGAGCTTGCCCTGTTTTCCTTAGAACAGAGTTGCTCCATATTATGAAATACTTCTTCCTATTGTGTCTTTTAAAAGTCATAATTCTCATCTACTTTAGGCTGTTCTGTTGTACAGAGTTTATGATGACAGCAAATTCCAGCCATGGTTTACAACCAATTAAGCCCTTGATTTTCCCTGGGCTAGCACCTTTTGTAACTAAATCAAATGAGCAAGTACTTATTGCCTGTCCTTGTGCTAATTTCCTGGGCAAATTGGAGATGAACAAGACTTGGTCTCTCTCCTCAAAGAGCTTACAAGCTGGGAGAGCAGATTGATATTAATGGATCATAGTGATACGCACTGTCTGACTGGGCTACTGGCTGGCACACTTGAAATTGCTTACTCCTAACTCATCATCACACTTTGGAAAAAGTACGCTTCTCTCAGGTGTCTGAGAAGTTGAGTTAAATGACTCTCAGACCCCCTGCAGCTCCAAAATCTCATGATTCTGTGAAATGTTATCAGACAACCTCAATAACAGCTGGAAGAATAAGGAAGAAGTTTGCCCCATGAAGGAAATGTCATTTGAGAAAGTCCTTGAAGAATTTTAACAAGAGATAAAGAGGGCTTCTGAGTGTGAAGGGCGTGAAGGAGATGCACCTAGTACAGTGGCATGTAGTAAGTGTTGAATAATTTGGGTATTCTGGTGACCTGTCCAAAGACATAAGCTCATTGAGACATGTCATATCCTCTGTGAAGGGAGCATTTTGTAACCTCGTCACACTTGTCTCTTCCCTCTAGTCAGTCTTATGAAGCCTGTGTCTTCTCTTTTTCAACTGAGAGATATTTTGTAGATCTACTGACAGTATAGACAAAGGAGAGATGTAGGCACAAAATAGCTTAATGAGGACCCAATATTTATTTAACCTGCTTTTAAATAACAGCACTGAAATAATTTAGAGGGGGTTGTATTTCTTCAAACTTAAAGTTAGCTGCCTGAAGAACATGAAACAGAAATACACATTCTGGGTACCAAATTATTTCTTCCGTTATGGATGCCAACAAAAGCATTACTCATCTGGAAAACATGATTAATACTACTGTCAGACATTAACAGTGTAACTGAAAAGTGCCTTATGGAAGATAAATGTTTTTAAAATATACAGTCTGTTTACTTTATATAATGAGAAAGAAGTCATACTTACTTGGGTATTAACTCTTTTCCTTCTGTATCATGCTGTGGTAGAGAAGAAAATGACCAATGGCTTCATGCTTACAGCATAGTTAGCAATTTAATGTATTTCCTTCTTCTTTTATTTATTTTTAAATTGACAAGGAAAAATTATATATATTTATGGTATACAGCATGGTATTTTGATATGTATTCCTTTTTCTAAATATACTTATGATAATAAAGTTAATTTTGTGTATTTTTCTATCTGACATTCCATGTTGCTGAATAATCTTCATAATCATTCTTTTAATGTCTGTATAATATTCCATAAGGAAGTTGTACCATAATTCTCTTAACTATTCTTTTATAGCTTTAATATTTAGATTGCTTCCAGATTTTCACTATTCTAAATAAACAGGTTTTGTTTTTTTTGTTTTTTTGTTTTTTTTAAAAGATGACCGGTAAGGGGATCTCAACCCTTGGCTTGGTGTTGTCAGCACCACGCTCAGCCAGTGAGCAAACCGGCCATCCCTATATGGGATCCGAACCCATGGCCTTGGTGTTATCAGCACCACACTCTACCGAGTGAGCCACGGGCCGGCCCAAATAAACAGTTTTATATATAATTATTTTTTCCATATTGGAGATTTTTTTCTGTAATGTAGATTCTCAGAAGTAGGTTTACTGGGTCAGAGAGCTATTGTCCTTTGAGATTGGTTTATTTTTATTCTTTCTATTTTTTTTTTTCTTAGATTTTCAAACTATAGCTGACAGTGTTTACATGACTTCCCTGTCTTTAGCCACTCCCCTAACTATTGTGCAAAGGTAAACTGTAGTCTCCTTTGTTGTATTGCCTCCCTAAGAGTGTTACTTAGAAATAAATTCTTACCCCAGTCATTATAAAGGCCATGCTGAATAATGTTAAAAGGCGAGGAGATTAAATATTTTTTAACCTTCGGGATGGTAGTTTGGTCCTCAGCTGACTTATTACTGCCTAATAGTCTTGTAGTACAGTGGGCTTTGTTTTTGAAATATGAAAATCTTTTTGTTTAGCTGGAGCTCATCCCAAAGAAAATTATTTCATTATTGTAATGAAATAAGTATAAACTGTTGAAAATAATAGTATGCACCTGTAAAAATCATTTCAGTTACTTTTATATTTACAGTATTGCCAAATGGACAATTGTCTTTTTATTGAACTAAACTCCATACTCAAAATGCCCACTTTTAGTGAAACTGACATTTCAAATTCCCAGTGGGATCAATTTGATTCAATTCAATAAGCATGTATTGAGCCTGCACTACTCATGAGATACTTGGCTAGGTGCTGAGAATTACCAGAGTATCTATTGAGTTAGTGTCCACAGATTGAGAGAACTAGTCTCACTGACAGCCAAGACCAAAAGATGGGCATTGAAAAGATGTAGAGAATTTCACCTCTAAGAGAAGTGTCTCCAGCCACATTGTTCTTTGACTCTCTGCATAGACATAATAACAAGTAAATTTCCTGACACAGTTTCTTATGCATAGTACATATCCAAAAATATTCATCTGAACCTCAAGATAAGAATTTTACTCCGGTTCTACTGACTAAGGTTAAATTACCACTAAAAGGAGAGAGTTTACATTGATAAAGGGTGTTATATACTAGGTGCTGTGGCAGGCATATTCATACATTATCTATATGAGCACAATTAATTAATGAGCACAATTAATTAATGAGTACATCAATCCCGAGTGTATTTATGATGAGATAGACTTGGAAGAATTAAATACCTTGCCCAAGGGCACATAGCTTGTAAGTGAGGAGAACTAGTATTTGAATCCAGATGTATCTGCCTCTAAAGCCCTGCTCTTTACCATACTCTGTTATTTTTTACCACACTCTGAATTTTCCTTTATTCCTCTAACCTTTATCATGATTCATTTTAATTGCTGTGAAATCTTTTTTTCCTTTTTTTAAGCATCTGTCATCATTGAATGTCCCCTTTCCAGTGTCATTAATGGTCTTGTAGCACTTCAAGTGCTGTGTGACCAGTTGATATTAAATTTCTCAAGCTTTACTAATATTTTTTAACAGCTTTACTTAGGCATAATTGACATACAGTAGGCTGTCCATATTCAAAGTGCACAATTTGATACTTTTTGATTATATTGTACACCAGTGAAACAATGGCTACAATTAGGATAATGAATATATCTGTTACCCCCAAAAGTTTTCTTCATGATCCTTTGTAATCTCTTCTTCCTGTCTCTCGTCAACCACTGATCTACTTTCTGTCACTATAGGTTAGTTTGCCTTTCCTAGAATTTTATATAAACAGAATCCTATAGTATGTACTCTTTTTTTTTTTTTTTTTTTTGGCAGATTACTCAGTACAGGGATCAAATCCCAGACCTTGATGTTATCAGCACCATGCTTTTACCAACTGAGCTAACCAGCCAGCCCCTGTACTCTTTTTTGTCTGGCTTCTCTGACTCAGCCTGACTATTTTGAAGATCATCCATGTTGTTGAATGTGTCAATAGTTCATTTATTTTCATTGCTGAGTAATATTCCATTGTATGGA